AAAATAAACAAATATTTTATCAGTAAGCTAATCTGGTAAAAATATTCTGATAACTTCGGTTTAATAAATTAGCATTTTTAATATCATGAACTGCAAAGAGCCATAAAAGACATTAAAGCACCACATGAGGCTCACGAGCTTCAGTCCGAGTATCACTACAATAAGAGGATAACTTTTTGTACCTTGCCTTTGCAGGAAAGAGCACTGGTAAATTCTCTAGATTTGCATATAAATAGTTACACTAATCATGAAGAGCACCCTTAACTTTCTTGCCAGTGAAATTTGGTCTCCCTACTGCTATTTCAAATATGTCAAAGTAGTTAGAAATAGCAGGTATTTCCTATTGCACCGTTTGAGATAGAGATATATATATATATATAATATAAAATGTTTAATATGAACACACACTACTATTTAAATGCAATCTAACATTCTGAATCAACTAGTTGATGGAGGGGGGAAGCTTGATTTGGAAGCATAAGGGTTTGTTAATAGCCAATAGGTTTACTTATCACAGCTTTGTTTCAAATCCTAGTTGGGTCTCAACTGAAAACTGGTTTGGCCTTTGCCTCCTGTGTATGTGGTCGAATCCCACTTTCTCAAAGATCTTTCTACTCTAAAATTTCTTAAGGCCCAAATAATGATGGCTTCATCAAGTTGAAGTGCATTGGCAAAAAAGTATGTGAACATGTCATAATTTCTTGAACTAATCCTACTTCGGACTAGCACCAAATATACTTTCTTGTGAGCACTGAACTTACCCACTTTTCTTTAAGCCCCATTTCTTCAGTTCATGTATTTCAGTATAACCCTAATTCCTATAGATCACCCATTTAACTTCTGTTGAATGCAGAAATAAATTTGATGCAGAAGTAATGGGTGACTTCATTTTTCCTTTAACTTTCTAATGTGAACAAATTATATTGCAGCTGTTTGAGGAGTTACAACTGAGGCAAAAATGTTAAGCTGAGCAAGATTTTTTTTTTTTTTAAATCCATGGAAAATTAGAAAACACAATCTTTGAAATGTTTGAGACTTCTGATCTACTAATATACAATTAGGGGTTGTGGTAAGCACAATATACATTTCATGAAAACACTGTACTTGCCTCCAAAAAGGTCTAAGGCTGAAATGGCACAGGAAATGGATTAAATATATTAAATTCCTCAATGCTCGTTGGATAGCATTTATTATTTCTTCCCCACTCCCCTTATGCTAAACCACACCAAATGATGACTTGAGAGACTGACAGCTTCTTTTGAGATTTTAAGAGGCTGATTTTTATGAGAGGGTATCTTTGCATCTTGAGCTTAGACTTGTTTTGGGAAAGGGCAGAGTTACCATTTAGTGCAGGTAGTTTAAAGAACCAAATACAGTTTCCATTCAGGAAATGGAAGTTTGAAGGCCTTCAGGAGTTGGCTTCCAAGTACAGTTTGTTCTGTAGTCTTCTTCTAAGTATGGCCTAGAGCCAAACTTGAAACATGGTTCATTTTAACATGGGCCTTGTTTTATGTTCTCACCTAGAGATATTCATAATGTTAGTGTGAGATGGGTTTTACATCCATCTTTCAAAACTCAACCTAATTTGAAATTGTGTGCTATTGCAGTTTTAAATTAAAATGTCTGAGCTATATTGTAAATGTTTTTCCTTACAACCCTCAATTTAACAATCTTTGTAAATGCAGATTAATATCTTATTTTTCCTTTAGCTGGTTTGTGAAATCTATAAAAGATACTCTATCACTTAAGACTGGTAGTGTTTTAAATAACAAGTACAAAAGTAATTGACCTGAATGATAACAGTGGATCTAATCTACCTTGACTTTAGTAAGGCATTTGATACAGTACCACATGGGGAATTATTGGTTAAATTGGAAAAGATAGGGATTAATATGAAAGTTGAGAGGTGGATAAGCAACTGGTTAAAGGGGAGACTACAGCGGGTCATATTGAAAGGTGAACTGTCAGGTTGGAGGAAGGTTACTAGCGGAGTTCCTCAGGGATCAGTTTTGGGGCCAATTTTATTTAATCTTTTTATCGCTGACCTTGGCACCAAAAGTGGAAGTGTCCTAATAAAATTTGCGGATGACACAAAGCTGGGAGCTATTGCCAATTCAGAAAAGGATCGGGATATCATACAGGAAGATCTGGATGATCTTGTAAATTGGAGTGATAGCAATAGGATGAAATTTAATAGTGAGAAGTGTAAGGTTATGCATTTAGGGATTAATAACAAGAATTTTAGTTATAAGCTGGGGACACATCAATTGGAAGTAACGGAGGAGGAGAAGGACCTCAGAGTCCTGGTTGATTATAGAATGACTATGAGCCGCCATTGTGACATGGCCGTCAAAAAGGCTAATACGATCTTGGGATGTATTAGGCGAGGTATTTCCAGTAGGGATAAGGTATTTCCAGTAGGGATAAGGCATTGGTGAGACCCCATTTGGAATACTGTGTGCAGTTCTGGTCTCCCATGTTTAAGAAAGATTAATTCAAACCGGAACAGGTACAAAGAAGGGCCACTAGGATGATCCGAGGAATGGAAAACCTGTCTTATGAAAGGAGACTCAAGGAGCTTGGCTTGTTTACCTTAACCAAAAGAAGGCTGAGGGGGACATGATTGCACTCCAATGTGGACACAAGAACAAATGGATATAAGCTGGCTAGTAGGAAGTTTAGACTTGAGATTAGACGAAGGTTTCTAACCATTAGAGGAGTGAGGTTCTGGAACGGCCTTCCAAGGGAAGTAGTGGGGGCAAAAGATCTATCTGGTTTCAAGATTAAACTAGATGGGTTTATGAAGGGGATGGTTTGATGAGAGAACATGATCTTGGTAACTAATTATCCATTCATTATCAGTGGGAATAGGTCAATGGAGGGATGATAGGAGTTACTATAGAGAACCTTCTGGGTGTCTGGCTGATGAGTCTTGCCCACATGCTCAGGGTTTAGCTGATTGCCATATTTGGGGTCGGGAAGGAATTTTCCTCCAGGGTAGATTGACAGAGGCCCTGGAGGTTTTTGCATGGGGTACAGATCAGCTAGAGGATTCTCTGCATCTTGGGGTCTTCAAATTATTTGAAGGCTTCAATATCTGAAATACAAGTGAGGATTATTCTGGGAGGGGTGGGTGAGATTCTGTGGCCTGCACTGTGCAGGGGGTCAGACTAGATGATCAAAATGGTTCCTTCTGACCTTAAAGTCTATAACAGTGTAAAGATGTAACACAGTACAGGTGAAGTTTGTGTAAACTGCAATCAAATAGAACATAGCAACATAACTAGTGTTGATGCATCATTTTAAATGTTATGACTTGAGAACAAAAAGTCAGTCCCATTATCCAAGTTCACTTAGGAGTAGAGTAACTCCTTTGGCTGTCCATTTTTAAACCCTGTCTTGGCTATCCTGGCTCTTCTTTTTGGGGAGGAAGGGAGGGTTGGCAAAAGTTGGCATTTGTTTTGCTCTTGATCTGTTGGCAAGAAAAGGGACAAATGTCTACTCTTGCCCAAAAAAGTAGGGTGTGATTGTAGAAGAATATACAAGGAGTGAGTAGAGATGCCAACTCCACATAGAGGGGAAGACGCTGGATTATGGTGTGGCATTCTAGTGCATAGGGGGCAGGCAGCGTTCAAACAGTGACTATCTTTTTTTTTACATCACATCTATGCCTCTCCCCAATCCTCTCTGAGACAGATTCCCAAATTATTACAGGTGGTCTCAACACAGGATGTTAATGATGACCTTGTCTTTATTAGTATTGATGAATACTAAATGTAAAACTTAGAATTCATGGTTTTGAGTGGGTTTAATTAGGAAAAACTAAATTTTTCCCAAGTACATAATACCACTTTTAGGATACAGCTGAAACAATGTTGTGTTTTTGCACTTTTGTCAGTTTAGACTTGGTATGGAATAAATTAAAAAAACAACTTTACATCCTCTAAGGATGAGGGTAGTAAATAGAATTAAAGATGGGAAAATATCCGGCAGGAAAAGGTCTGAAATTCTGAAGCACTAGAGGAGTGAGGTGTCTCATTTGAGGGCCACATCAGTGAGGGTTGGGAGTTTTGGAGATTTTTTTTTTCTCTCACTTCTGTGGTCCCCTACCGATGGTTTCCCCCACTCCTGCCATACATAAAACTAACATTGAAGCCTTTTTGTGTTGGACATAAATTAATATTTTACTTTCGTTAGTTTACCAAACTTCATTTTAAATAGAGTTAATGCTTAATCTGTTTAATTGAACCATTCTTTCTAGTTGCAGCTGGTTCAGAAAGTATGGTCACCCTACATAGCTGTCCTCCCCTCCCACAGTGCACAGATCTGTAAATAGAAGTGAATAAGTTAAATATTGGCACACCACTTCAGAATGCTGACCCCTTAACTAGTATGTCAAAGTTAGGGCAACATACTGGTGAGCAGGCTTATTGCTGAGGATTTTAATATGGAGGACAGTATTGTGCCTTACTAACCTTGTCCTGTTAATTGATTCCCTCTCATTGAATCTTCATAGGCTTTTTTGAAGATATTTGTATCACTTTTGAGATATAGAAGAACCTTTCCGATTTATAGAAATTGGGGAGCTATAGTGACTGACTTGCTATGATGCAAATTTCAGTATGCACATATGAAACACATGGCTTTCATCAATTTTCTGATATCTAATGGGCTATGCTAGTAAATTGTCTGTACTGTAATTCATAAGTGTTAACATGACCTTTCTGAAGCACTCTTTGCCATTCAAAGTGGGATGACAACCGTTTTTATGTAGTACAAATTCAGTGTACTTCAAAATCAAAAGATTGGATATATTTAGCTATAAAACTGTTTCTTGTGGTTTCTGAGAGATATACAGGATGTAAAAAAGTGAGCAATTTAGTGAGTTCAAAGTAGTTCTCTAATGTAACTAAAATGTGCCAGAACCCCTTCACAAGAAACTGTAGATACCAAGATGTGATGTCCTTTGCTAAGTGACAGATCTTCTCATCTCTTTACAGGGTGCTGATAAGACTGTGAAAGGCCCAGATGGACTAACAGCCTTTGAAGCTACTGACAACCAGGCAATCAAAGCTCTTCTTCAGTGACGGATGGACTGATACAACTAATGTATTTTCTGTGGCCTCACACTGCTGCCTGTCTGTCACTCTTTGCTTCTTCCAGCTTCTTCAGCTAAATACTTTTTTGGGGGGGTGGGGTGGGGAGGGCGTTGTCAGTACATCAGACTAACTAAAGGTCTCTGTTTAAAAAAAAAAAAATCTGTTTTTGAAGAGAATGGAAATCTATACAATCAATGTCCTTAGGATTTGCTTCATGCACAATCTTCCCTCTCTCCCCTCCCCCATTTATAGTGTAAACAAACGTCTTCTGCAGGAGGGGAAAGAACATACACTTCAAAATTGGGTGTTATGCCTCCCTGACAGTTTTGTGTTGAAAAATCAGTGTAGACAAAGATAGTGTTTAAATACTCTAAGATGCTAACTAAGACAGTGGTCCAATGCTGTTAGTGTCTGCTGTGATGTAAAATGTAGCCACTGAGGCAGTTGATAGCTACATCCATCTGCTTTAAAGCATATGTTGAAATACTGAAGACTTCTGATACTAGTTAAAGGCTCTGTCTCTACCTTGACTAATCAGATGCCGCACTAACCTTCCTTTCACTCCTTGTAAATCAAGAGAGATCAGTTTTTAGGCAAGACCTTGTTATATTCCAAAAGACCAAGATACCTTTAGAAGATTGGATGTTGGGTTCTCCCTCCACCCCTCCAGTCTGGTCAGTTCTGGACAAGAACACAATCTGACTTGTAATATTTTTTTGTGATAAATCTCTCTGCAGTTTATCCTTTTAGGTTGTCAGTTGGAATTTCCTCATTTACCATGTCAATATAATCAACATAGGTGCATATGGTGAAAACTGCAAGTCCTCTGCTATCCAAGAAGAACTTCTCTGCTTAATTTAAACTTAGTGCTGCTAGTAATTTAGATGTTCTCAGTAAAACATATCAAAATTGCTAAATGTTTTTTGCTATAGTTTCAAAAAATATTACATGAAGCACTATCTGTGTTCTACTATCAGAAAAAGACTGAAATGCAATTTAACTGAAATCTATAACTATCAGAGAAGAAAATAAGGCGTTTCCTAAGATTCCTTATCAATTGGCTGAATGTTTTTAACAGAGTAATGAACCTCTTTCCAAAGCTTCTGCTTAATTCCTGTATCCTTTATGGTCCTACAGACATATTTAAGTTTCATCTGGACGTTATTGTACCAGTAAATATTACAGCAGTAGATAACTCATTGGAAGCAAATTTAAAATTGTAGCAAGGGATCCCCACCTCATTCGCTCCAAAAAAGTCTGAGCTCTTGTTTTCAGCTTTAATTTGTATTAGACACCTACCAGCTCACCCAAACAGTTTTTTTCATAGTATTTTTTAAAGAGGCATACATTATATAAAGATATATCTGTTTGGGAGGTTGGCACGTGCAACTTTCAGGCATTATGGTAACATTCAGAAAACATCACTCAGTCTTAAACATGATGTTTAAACAAAACAAGCAAGCCTTATTTTTATTTCTCATGTTTGGAATTGATGTCAGGAAGGTGGGCAATACAGTTTCTGGTAACTGCCATCAAGATAAATATGTATTGACCCATTTTGGGTTCGTATTTTAACCATGTTGCATACAATTGAATGTGAGTCAATTATGAACAACCTTGTATTTAGAATGTAAAATGAGAACAGACGGAATTATAAATATAGAACATCCCCACATGATTTTAAAAAAAATCCAGAATAGTCATTCTGGCCAATGAGAAACTGTAGTGAGTAACTATTGCTGGTTTCTTAGATTTCTGGGAGGTATGAATGGCAGTAGAAGGATAAGAAATATTTTAAACTATAACCACTGAGTAACTGGTAATGAACAAACACACTTGGCTAATTTTTTTTTGTATTAAGTCTTTAAAATAAAGATCTCTGTAATCAATCTCTAATCAATGCTGGACCATCATAGTCTCATTACAGTAGTGTGGATGCTGAATAAAATTCTGATATTCTGAATCACTGAAATAATTAGTACTATGTTTGCATAAACTAGTCTTATGCTGTTAAATACTAAGCCAGAAAACTGCAAATTGAAATTATTTTTTTACTTTCAAGTTTAAAGAATTGTCAGATTGTATACTTCACCATAACCTCTTACCATCTTTTTTCCTCTTTGCCTTGCCCTTCTCCATCTCATTCACCCCTACCTCCCACTTAAGAGGAGATTATTATAGCACTGGATCATTTGGACCTTTTTTGTACTGTTCCTCTGGTGATGATAGAGGTTATTTGCCTTCATTTTCTACAATTATTTAAACTTTTTAATTTTTCTTGATCTATTTCACATGAAGAAATCTGCAAAAAAATTTTTGATAAGACCACGTTTAATTTGACTGAATAAAAATCCAGGCCACTTTGCCAGAATGGTTAGAGGATTGATATTTAAATCTTTATTTTACTAAAGAAGAATTTGTTTCCTTTTTGCACTACATAAAAGGTTGTCATTTTTGTCCAAGTTTTTAAAGAGCTATAAATGCTTTAATCTTTGTTTTGTGTAGACAATAGGTTTGTTAATGCACTTCCTTGTCATCACATTGTGAGAAATTGGTTTGCTACCTGTTTCTCTAGCCCTTCTATGTGCGAAATTGACAAAATGTAAATTTTTGAATGCACAGAAAACTAATATAGAAACACAAAGGCTTAAATATCTTGTCAAAGCCAACTGGAAATATATACATTTAGAAATCAATTTACTTTGTGTAGCTTTCCCTTTCAAATTCGGGTTGAGTATTTTAAAATTAAATCGGAGGTCTTACATTCTCTGTTCTCTTTTTTTCATTGAAATAAATCTTTGAATCTTAAATGGAACTTCTCCTTTAATACAATATTGAATGCATTATTTTGTTTGTAGAAGAGGCTGGTAAGAGTGGAGTGTCCTAGTTCAAGCAATTGCAGTGTTGCATGCAAAATTTCAAAATGAACTGTCTTAATTATATTTTGTAAATGAAGAAACAATCATATCTTTCTACGCAGTGATGGAAGAAAATTAGTGCTTTATGCATTTTGATATTCCTCTTTTCACCAGTGTAGCTATTTTGACACAGGTCTATCGTTATCATGGTTCATTGACATCAGAATGCTAAATGATGATGTATTTTTAAGATTGTTGCAAGAATGAATGAATAAAATAAACTTGAATTGTGCTACAGAAGATTCTGCAGCTTTATTTCCCTTGTCCTATCTGTCTTCTATTGCTGTCTGATCATACTTACATACTGTGTAGCTCTGATACTTCAGTTTAACTGGCACTGTGTGCATAATTTCAGCTGTATTGATACAGATGTGAACAAATCTGAGGGCTGGTCTACACCAGCGGTTCTCAAACATTTTGGGCTCCGGAGCCCTTTACACGTGTAAAAATTTATGTGGAGCTCCAGCAGTCCACTGATTGTATGTGTTGTACCTATCAATGTTTCCAGTTTGTCAACCTCGTGAAGCCCCTGGAGAAGTCTCGGAGCCCTGGGACTCTGCAGAGCACAGTTTGAGAAACACTGGTCTACACTAATGCTGTAAGTCAATTTAAGTTACGCTAGTTCAGTTACGTAAATTGTGTAACTGAAGTTGATGCAACTTGGGTTGTCTTATGATGCAGACACTGCCATATGTGAATGGGAGAGACTCAAAATAAACTTAAATGATGAATTGTCCTGTAGCACTGTAGATGTTGCATATGACTTTCCATTTTGTAAATCTTTATTAGAAAGCACTGAACTCATAATTTCAATGCTATTCCTTATAGTAGAAATGTCTCATTTAAGCCAGAAATATAGATAGTATGAGCTTTTGTGGGCACAATCCATTCTTCAGATGAAAGCTCAAGATACTATCTATTTTTCGTTAGCCTCTAAGATGCTACAGGACCATTTGTGGTTACATAGCTGCCCCTCTGATCCCTTAACATAGTTTTCACACCCCAAAGAGTTGAGTATAGACATATTTGGGAGAGTGCACTCTCATTAACAGAAGGTTTCTCCATGCCAACTAAACTAACATCTCTGCTTTGCTGATTTAGCTGGTAGCTTATAGGCCCTGCCTATACAGTCTTTACTCTTGAGTGACCCATAGTATTAGCTACATGTGATTTTAGAGCATGGATTGGGGAAGGGTAAGAAGAGCATATAAATGTCTATCTCCCCAAAAAACCTGAGGGCTGAATGAACATGGCAACTCCCACAGACATTACCAATAATAGACAATTCATCATATTGAGATTGCTGTTTAACAGAATCCTTGCATTTGCACTGGCTTCAACTGTTTGCCTGCAAGGCAAATAGACTTCATTCCACAGTTTTAGGACAACTCTGTTTTGGAGCTTAAAAGGAATATTGTATGCAACCTGGAATTGAAATAAGGTGCAAGTGTACTTTGCAAAACATGTCAATGCCCACCTTAAAAGAAACAATTTTATTAATCCTTTGCTCTCTTGCTTTGTGTTAAAGGTGTGCTATCCCTGAAATAAGTTTACTGTGGATTGCCTTTTGGAATAGATTAAATTGACCTTGGAGGCGGGGGGGAGAACTCTTTCTGACTGTGCCTCAACTGTCTTTCAAGAGTAATGCAATTCCTTCTTCCTCAACTTTGCTGTCCAGTACACTTGAGTGAACTCAATTAAGTTACTAGAAATAGCTGCAGTGTATGTAGATGTTGCATATGACTTTCCATTTTGTAAATCTTTATTAGAAAGCACTGAACTCATAATTTCAATGCTATTCCTTATAGTAGAAATGTCTCATTTAAGCTGTCAAACAAATTCAGTTTTAAATGCATGTTTTAAAAGAAATAACTTTTACACAGTAGTATTTCTTATAACAAAATGGAATAGTGTTATAAAATTATAACAAGACAAACTAGTATTCCAAAATGAGGAGACTCACTTAAAGATTTAGATTTTTTCTGCAGTTTTCAATATTGAAATCATCATCTTATCTACTAATGCTGTATGCACAGCCTGCTTATTTTTAAAAAAAGTAAATACATTTTGGATACAATGTTAGCATTCCAAAGTAGTTCAAATGGTGCCACTGCCAGTGATAATTCATAATCCTATGAGTGCAGTCATTTGACATTCAGATGTTTATAAGAACTTGAAGGTTAGCCTCTCTCTACTTGGCTAAGGAAGACAACCTTCTTATACGAATAAACATACATAGAATACATCCAGAAACTATAACACAATGTATTTCTATATTGGCAATTGTAATATCTTAAAGGCACTGTTAATAGACATTAGTGCCAATGAAGCCAAAGTGCTTTTCTACTCTACGTCAAAGTACAACCACCTTTTGGGCAGACAGCTTCCAACTTTCTGGTCCATATACATGGCACAATGTGGAGAGGGAAAGACTTTGTAGGATGGGATTTCTTGTAACACTTTTCCTCACTCTTGCACTAGTTGTAGAATTAATTTTGATTACATTTTCAACTGTGTACAAAAAGTATTGGATACAACTGTATGCAGCATATACTGTAGCATAGAGAAAACTATCGTTCCAGATGCCTCCATTCTACATTGCTGGCTTTTTTAAACATTTAATCTAGAGTCCCTTTTTAGTGTGTGTGTGTGTGTGTGTGTGTGTGTGTGTGTGTGTGGTGTCACTTTAGAGAATGGTAATAACTCTAAAATGAAATTCCTGTATTCTTCTACTGGTTTCAAGATCATTCCATCAGACTGGTCTGCTGCCTTCTAGATAAGTTTTCAGCAAAAGTCATGAAAAGTTTAAAACAAAATCACTAGCACTTCTCTACGAAAGTATCAATTTTTTAAATCCTTGTTCTAACACCCCTTGGCCCATGCCTGACAATTTAAGAAATTAGTTTGTAAATAATCTGTACCTAGTGGGTGCCCTTCCAGTAATGCCAAGCCAATTCTTATAATTAATCTGCCACATGTAGATGGTTTCATAAAGGGACATATTACTCCTTTTAATAGCTATATTTACCTTATCTTGAGTCAAAGTCCTATAGTGGTCATTTGGATCTAAGAACAAAATCTTGTATTAAGAAGGAAAATAGTTCTTGGTTACATCTGTGTGTGCTCCACTTGTAGGCACAGTAGTACACCTGGGATTGGAGATCATCAGCAATGCCCATTGGACAGCATGTGTACAACCACCCCGCAACACTCCCACTGAATGGGACATGCATATAAAACATAACACTGTGCTGTCTGACCCCCTCCCACTTCCTTCCCTACTTCCTTTAGTATGGGACAGAATGTGCAGCAGAACCCACTTTTCCTATTCCTTCACTAGATAGTGCCTTACCTGTTAGTGTAGATAGTAGTATTATTATTTTTTATCATATATCATTTTATTTCATAAGCTGGGTTTCCATTTCCCGCCCTTCTTTACTAGAAAGCTTTTTTCTTCACATTTAGGTCTCAGTTCCATGGGCTTAAGAGGTATGTTTCTTATGGGGCTGCTTTCCTGGTAGCGGATGGTCACCTTCCTGGGAGAGTAAAATATCCCCAAGTGTTCACACTATCTTGGTCTGAAATCCAAAGCTAGAAAAGATGAAAGAATTGGCTTAAAATTTTTTGTGGAGATGTTGCTGTGATCAGCAATGGACCTGGGCCCAGACTTCCACTCTGCCTGGTTATCTGTACAAGGTACTACTTCTTGGACTGTCCTCAGCACCTCAGATATTCTTTAAGATTCTTGAGATAGTCACTGCTTGCCTTAGAAAGAAAGGAGTTGTCATCAACTCCATCTATCTTCTAAAGACCCCATCCAAGACCAATGCGCTGTTCACATTTCTAGATTCACAAGGACAATCACTGGAATTCATTGGCATACAGTTGCATGATATATAAGTCATAGCCCTCCTACTGCCACACAGATGCTTAGCTATAGTAGATCTGGTATCCAATGTATGGGTCTGCCCCCAGATCTCTTCCAAAACATATCTCCAACTTCTAGGTCACATAGCAGTGACCACTTTTATGACCAGGCATGGTTATCCACAGTATATCCAACAGTGACTATTATCCTAACAACCGATGCCTCCATAATTGGTTGGGGAGCATATCTCCACAATCACACCATGCAGGGGAGATGATCATTAACTAAATCCACTGGATACATAAATCTCTTAGAATTGTAGACGCTCTTGCTCACTACCCATCATGAGGGATGTTACATCAGTGCTCGCCTACATGAAGCCATTACGCTTTGGAGACCGAGGGAAATGCCCACAGGACCCCCTTGACAGTCTCTGGACCTGGGACTCTGACAGTAGGATTCCAAGCACAGTTCATCAGTGTGTGTACACACACACCCCTCTAGCAAGAACACTAGTCCTGACCCTCTATTCTGGCCTCAGAATTGCTTTACATGGTTGGGGGCTTTTTGTCTACAAGAACAAGGTTCAGCTGCATCTTCTCTTGGCCTTCCTGCCAAAGGTTTTATCTTCCTTGAGTATGAACATGTTCCTCCCAATATTCAGTCTGAAGCAGCACAAGACTGCTGAGGAGAGGTGTCTGCACACACTGGAGATCTAGAGGGCTTTGATTTTATCTGGAACCTGTGCCTTTCCATAAATCAACCCACTTGTTATCATTACAGTGGATAGGATCAAGGGCCTCCTGGTTTCTGAGTTCCAGTTAGATCACCTCTTGCATAAAGACCTGTTGTTACAAGGTGGCAAAGGTTCCAGCACCACTGAACATCAAAGCCCATTCAATTAGAGCGCAAGCATCTTCAGCAGACTTTCTGGCACAGATCCTGATCTAGGACATCTGTAGCACCATGATGATGTCTTCTGACAACATGATCATGTCTCATTATGCCATCACTCGGCAGGGCAGAGACAACACTGGGTTCAACAGAACTGTGCTAGAATCTTCAAGGCCATGAACTCCTACCTGCTTCCAAGAGAACTGCTTAGTCACCTAACGTGGAATGAACATGAGCAATCACTTCTTGGAGAAAAAATGGTTCTCCTTCAAGTGGTCCCCGTGGGTGCTCCACTCTGGGTGCTGGTGCGTCCTTGCGCCAGCGACGGGAGACTTTTTCTAGCAGTTTCTGCTGTGCCGCGCAGGCGCCGCAGCGCCCTCTAGTGCTGCTGGAACCGTTGGGCGCATGCGCGGCGCGGCTCCTCAGTTCCTTCTCTACTGTCCTCGGCAGCAGACAGAGCCAATGGTTCTCCTATCTT